ACAATTTCTTTAAAAAATGTAACAGTGGTTCTTGATGCTGATCATACGCTAGCCCAAACTTCTACTTTGACAATCTGAAGCTCTACTGGATTTTTTCGTACTGTAACACATCAAAAGGTCGAAACTTTTCCTAGAAGCTTATTACCTATTCGTAAACCACGGAGTTATCCAACTGCGATATACCTAGTAGGTAAATTCATATGCTAAACGTACAAGAAAATAATTCGTGATGTAGCCAGAACCTAAGTTTTCTGGGTCCTTGATGCAGAAAATAGATTTACGGCAAAAGTCTGCTCCTGTCAGTCCGTCTTGTCTATGAATAACGCTAGCCTCTAAAATGATCAGTCTGTTTTTTCCAAAACTGATATTTCGCAATCGATGTGGCATATCCCCTTGATCCCCTTGTGAATATCCCTTTGAATTTTAAACCGACATTTTAATATTGGGAGTTCATAACATGTAGACCCTGGGACATTTTCCAAATTAAAAAAATGGTTTTATCGTTTTTTATTGAATGTTGTTGTTGTTGAATATTGTGAAGGACATATCTCACGTTCGTTAAAAACACTAATTTTTCAAAAATTGCAAAAGTTCAATTTTTTTTCGGCGTCTTCATAAAACAAAAATATTACAGATAGAGATTTTTTCACTTAATAAAATCTGTTCCTTAAAGATAGATTTTGAAATAGGTCACGTAAAATTTTTCGTAAATTTCTTGTACAAAAAAAAAAAGATGACATGTGTTAATTTGGAGAGAAATGTGAGAATCAAAATATATTTTAGCACTCAACTAAAAATTGACGTTTTTATATGCGTCACTTTTCTTTGTTCACTGATGATATTACTGTATTGTTCAGCCGAAGATACACGTTCACTGCACCCTCAAGTTCATAGTTTGATTTCTTCATTCTCTTTAGTGAAAGCTCCGATGAGAACTAATATTCCAGGAGGATCTACTAGAAATTTTCTCATCAGTCAGGGTCCGTCTGAACTCTTATATAGGTGGGAACTGGCTGTGGGTGGCTGCACTGTGTCATTCGCGGTGCGTTGAAGGTATTAAGCCAGATGTGACTTGCGCTTTTTCAGCAAGAACGTCAACCTTTATGGATTCCAAGATGAACTGTCATTATCTCACACTTCATTACGCTGCCTAAGAAAATCATAAACTTCATACACGTGATCTCGAGCTCACCACTTCTTTATATTTGAATTCTTTGACAAACTCTCGCAGCAAGACGTCTTGGGTGATTCCGTCAGAAAAATATTAAGAAAATCGGAAAAGAAATCTAAGTTTATGAACTGTAAAAAATAATAAATGCCGTTTTAAAATGTGACAATTTGAAATCTTGGTTGGTAATTAGTTGTATTAGAAATTAAATATATCGCTTATATTTCAAGATTAAACATAGTTAATTGGAGTGAAGTAAATGACGCACTTTATTCTGTGCATACTTTGCGTTTTAAGTGAATATTTTAGCAATTTGTTTAGCTTATATATGCGAATATTTTCATGATTTTTAGTGTCCTTAAATCAACAGTCAAAAACTTTCACTGAACGGTTGTAAGATTATCAAAACAATATTTATGGCTCATTGATGAATACTTTACGTGGGGATGCTCATTATCGTAGCATCTCTCTGTCGCTACAGCACTAGTATACGTGCACGATTTATGAATCTAGTAACATTACAATTAAGTTTTCTTTGCTTTGTTCTGCCTATTTTGTCGCAAATACGTTATTTTGTTATTTGCAATTTTTTGAAAAATGTAACAATTAATTGTAAATCCTTGGTAAAAAAAAACAACATTCATGACATTTTTTGGCTTAGTTTTCCCGATAATTGTCTACCGGTAGCGAAGCTCCATTTTGTTGTGAAATCTCGGTACGTCACTTGGGTATGCATGACGAACGCCCAAAATCTTTTCTTGCAGTTCTTCGCATATTTAAAACTAGTGGTGTTACAGAAATGCACATACTATCTCATAGTAGTTTTTTCTTTGGCGAGAGCTGGATTTTTGTTTTTATTGCACGTTATTGTTATAGTACTATATTTTTAGATGCAGTAAATCATATGTTTACATAGCAAAATACGCATTTATAAAATCAAATGTAAAAGATCATTTAAATTGTGCAAGTAAGGAAAACAAATGTATCTGCATTTTTAAATCACCAGAATGCTTCAAAATGACTTTTCTGTCATGTCATTCGGTGCATTCGGTACAGTACGTAACAAAAGTTTAAAGAAAAAAATTACAATCGCTTTTGAGAATCTTTTTAATATTGCTCAACTTTCGCCCAAAATTACGCGAAAACTACTAATATTTTCAAAACAATCTAGAAAATCTTCATCTTCAACAATAAAGTTGTACGAGGGTCTCCACCACAAACTTAAGCAATTTTCAGAATATTCAGAGTTAAGAGAAATTCGAACCCATGTCATCTTTATGTGTATTTCTATTCTCAAAAGAAATTTAAAGCAAAGCAATTTGGTGCCGTTTTTGAGAAACTTGAAAATGTTTCAGGAGCTTCATGTGAAGTACCTACCGCCAAAATAACTTGTTTCAAAGCCGCATGGCTTCGATTGGGGTCAGTTCGATGAGGATTACACATTTTGGAGGAACGGACGTTTGAAAATATAACACTTTTTCGGTGTGAGAAGACTCCAAAACGAATTATTCGGTTAAAATCTTGAAATAGATTTGATGAATGGATTTAAGCAGCAATATAATAGCTCACTCTATACTACACATTACTCGTGATATACGTAAGTATACAAAAAAATGTAATATTCTCCAACAAAACGTCAAAATACTCACTGGGTTATTTTTTAAAAACCTGTAACACGTGTTATGTACTTGCAACTTAAAATTTTCGAACTAATTTGTGATCAACCTACAAGTGTTAGATGTCTTGGCTTTCATTTGAAAACTTCAAGCTTCTGATTGGATAACCGTGGCCCCTCTTGTAACGCATGTGTAAAGGGATCTTAATTGATGAATAATGCGTCACTTCTCTACTTGTTATAAATAGAAGCAGTACAACTGAACAGAATTCGTAATTTAAATAATTTCACAAAACCTCTGAGGAAATAATTTAATTAAAATTCGAATATCGGTAAATAATGCACTGACATTGGGAGCGCCGGGGAAAGATGAATGGACCAGTGCCATTTCAGTACAAAAACAGAAGATGTTCACTCGCACACAAAGAAAACGAACAAACTACGTGTGTATTTCACTGTGCGGTCACTTTGAAAGCTCGCACAACACTAGCAAGGTTGCCTTCCACTCTTTGAGTCGATAAACATTACGGGGGGTGGTGGGAAGAAATCATTATCCGGAATTTCATTGAGGGGAACCCCTAGAACATTGCCAACTGGTGAAAACAAGGTGATATCGAATTTTCAGCTGTAGATGGATTGATGGAGACCTGCCACTACTAATCTGCATTTTAAAAGTGAAATTGTAATAAAAAAGCGAAGATTTTTTTCCGGAAAAACTACGGTGTCTCAAACTGCTGGCCTGCTAAAATGACGAGCTACCCTAAAATGACGGGGGGCGTTTTTGCTAAGTTCACGTTTTTTAGCACCTTTTCTGTTTATGGATTTAGAATGCGTCTAGCAATTTAATTTTCTTTCATTTCCGTCTCTTCCAAATTGAGATTGGCGCTCGCAAAGCATTGAATAGAATCAACCCGGCCTTATCAAAACTGCATCTTGCAACAAAATTCCGGCAAAGTTTCACGCTTCATTTCATACAGTACAACTCGTTTGACATTTTCTCTTTACCTGGCCTTACCTCTTTATTCGCGGTGAATGCCGAGAAAACGATCGCGAATATAATGGCGTGTTGTAGATATGCCCTATATTTTTTCCGTTTTCGCAGATTATTCAGCAATACCTTCTTTTACGAGAAGGATTAGAAGATATCAGAAGGAAGAATTTCTTTCAATGCAACGTCGTAAAACCCTACAAGGCAAGCCGTTTCGTAACCTGAGCAAAGCCGAATAATAAAAGTAATTTTATTTTAGTAACGTTGACCCATGCGTTTGCCCTGACTGATGTTTCTAAATACTGGGTGACTTTTCTGTTACTAATATATTTTTATTATAACTTCGATTGTAAAAGTGAACGTGCCTAATGGAAGGAGATATTGAAAAAAATGATTTCTGGGAAATACAGCCTAAAAAAACGTATTCTGATGGAAATCGATACAGGTTCTCATATACTTTGTTTCTGGCATGACGTACTGGAAGCACAATTTTCCTACAATGCTGCCAATAGAGCAAACACTGGTAGCACTGACTGAGATATATGTCCGAATTTTGGTTCGTAGGACATTTCAATAAAACGAATAAGTCAAATGGACAAATAGAGCTTCTAGAGAACAGTTTTGTATGTAATTTTTACTTTTTAACCATTTCGAAGGTACTCTTAAAGAAAAAGTTTTGTAATCGTGCGCCGGAAAACGGCCAATATTCGTCAGAAAAACTCTTATTGCCGGGTCCTGATAACGAAAAGGTGGATGCATCCTATTGCTATATGTACTCGTAGTAAATTACTTCCTCTAACATGTGGTTAGCTAGAATCCATGTTTTGTGGATCCTTCGTACCGAAAAATCGAATGATGGCAAACGTCTGTCTGTCCGTCTCAAGTCAACGCTAGCGCCTACTAAACCGTTCAGCCTATTTTCTCCAAATATGATCTTCCCCGATCGATCTGAACGAACTCCAGGATTTAGGAGTTTCAAATGATTTTTTAGGGTACTTTACATGAAGTCTCAAAAATATTTACAAAATTTTCTCAAAAATGACCAGAATTTATTCGATTAAACTCTGTGCCAGATAGCGTGAGGAACGGTTAAGAGAGTGGTGCGGGTCTCATGATAGTTAAATTCACTGATTTTTCGAAAATGAACAGAGATCTCCTGTAGTATTGTCTTGCACAGTACCATGAATGCTTATGATTTCTACGCTAATTTGCACTGTATGTTTTTCCAGAATGGATTGGTGGACCTTGGCGATTTCTGTACTCTCAAGTTTGGCTGCCATAATGTTTACAAGGTATGACCCGTAAAAAAAAAGATTTATTGTACTATAAATATTCACAATGTCTATTGAGATATCTGGGAAAATTAAGATAGTTTTCTTCTGTAATATTCCAATGGTTATTTCTTACACCAAATTTCATCACGTCGTATAAAATACCTAGGTATCATGATGGACACCCACTTGAATTTTATAGAGCGCTTGGAATATTCCAACAAAAAACCGGCGATGGTAATGCGGCAATACCTCTTTGCATTACTGCAATACTTTTAATGTAAAAGTACATTAAAGTAATTATAATGTAATCACATTAAATTTAATGTTGCACATTAAATTTGCTGTACGTGTACATTAAATGTACTGGACGTTTGCATTAAATGTACCGGACGTGTGCATTAAATGTAGCGCACGTGTACATTAAATTTCATGAACACGTACTTTAGATTTAATGTACACGTGCAGAAACTTAAATGTGCGAACAAGATAATTACTTGCATGTTCTTTTATATTGAAAATAATGCAGAAATTTCTGACTGTCGCGTCAAAACTAGCTCATAAACCGTTACTACCATTTCCTCCAAAACTGATATTTCCTCTCCTAACTACCTTCTTCTTCTGGCATGACTTGAGCCCCTGCGAGTTTGAAAATGGTATGTTGATGGGGGGTCTGCACATAAAACATCAACATTTGGGACCATTTTTTGAGAAAATTTTGAAAATGTTTTGATTTCACTTTTCCCGTGAGTGACAAAGGACGCTTGAAAAATTTCGCAGCTCTCATTTTCGTTGAACACTGAATTTTCGAAAATTGAAAAATTGGAAATAATGCAAAAAAATGTGCTGTTGTAGCAGTACTGGTTTTTGTGAACTACAAATAGGTAGAAATTTTCATTAAGCCGTCTTCCGTTCGTCAAAGTCAAACTCATAAAATATTTGCAATTCCAGGTGATTTTAGAGAATAGTAATAGTGTCTCTAAATTTCTATTAATTGAACTCAATTGGTCTCAAATCAGCTACTTATTCGTTAGCTCTATCCTTTTACTCGACTCGCTTTTGCCGCTAGGGACCCTGCAGTCAAACATTTGTTCATTCTGACGAGGCTGGCTTGTGTTTTACAACAAATGTTGGATATCAATAATTTAAGAATGTCTCATCCAAATTGGATGGTATTTCTTTTGCTATTGCAGTACTCAGTACTTTGTTTTTCGTAAATCTTAGTAAATACAATGTATCTGAGAGAATTGTGTTTCATTGATGTTGTTTTTACGAAGGAATGTTGTTTTTTTTTGTTTCAGACTGACAATGCCGCATTTGGATCTACGTAAACCTCTAATTTGTTTTTTGCTGTTGATTCTCTTCCTAAATTATTGTGATAACAAGCCTATGAATTGTGGCATGCCTCAGAGATTTGACTCAGAAATAAGTTTAGCATTTTGCTCTTTTCGAGAATTAACAGAGCCTAGTATTTTCAAATCATACGAAAGTATGACAAAACTTAATGTATCCCATAACAATTTACAAAGACTGCACGTTGATGTCTTTAAATATAACCTTAAACTTATTGATTTAGATTTAAGTTATAATCCAGATTTAGGCAAGGATTACCAGGGCACAGAATGTATTATCAAAAGCGATTCGTTACGAAAATTGAATCTTGCATTCACCGGATTTGGACTCATACAACCTGAATCTATTTGTGCCCCTAATTTGAAGTATATTAATCTTGTTGGCGTTCATAGGTGTGAACTAACTCGTTCATTATTTAAACAGAAGAAACCTTTTGTTATTATTACGTGTGGAGGAATTAATCCCGAAGCTATTTCTGAGATTTCTACTTTTTCACCATTGAACACACAATCTTCGACTATTAGACCCACTACAACGACAGGTGATTCTGCGTCACAAGGTCTATCGGTAACATCCATGACGAATTCATCAGGTGCCACGACGCAGCAGCCAGTTATTGCTCCTACTTTTGCTTCTGCGGACGGAGGGCCGGACGAGGATCCTGAGCCAATTAACTCCGAGGGAACTCCTGTCGCGGTGTGGGTGGGGCTAGGAGTAGTGGGAGTGGTAGTGGTAATAATTACGATCCACGTTATTGTTTTATGTGGTTTCCCCCGTACTAAATATGCGCACGTTTTGCGCACTTGGCGGAACAGACACATTTGTGTGGTATTGAGAAATTTCTTTTGTGCTCCTCGTAATGGATCGATACATGAAAATGCAAATACTCGAGAGAATTCGGATATTTCTCCTGGGGATAATGAATCAGATGCAGAGCAGTCTTCATTCCTAAACCGATAAAACTAGAAAAACCACGAACAGCACGTTTTCTATGTTGGGGAAACTTATGAATGATGACATGCTCTAAGGTACCTGATATTGCTGATGTTATAGTTATTTACGAAAGGAACATAATAATACGTACCAATTGGAGAATTATTAGATAGATACCGTTATCACTTTTTTATAAAAAAGAATCTATTGTTACTAGTCATTGGTTATTTAAGAAAGTGCGTATTGTATCGGTTGTTTACGTTACGTATGAACACGAATAATTAACTATTCCCGCCGCCCTCTGATTCCTTCGAGAATGAATAATTGAATAAGTTGTGCGAATGTTTTTTACAACGTTGCAAATTTTAATTTTAACACATGAAAATGTAAGATATACGTACAATTTTCCTTAAACTGATCTCTTAAAAGGAGTAAATTAAGAAAATTACTATTAGGGGACTGGTCTGTAGTTTCAGTGCATTGCTATTGCGTATTTCAACTTATTTTGTACAGAGTGCATCTTTTATCTCGCAACCCAGTCTACGCATACGTTTGAGCCCAAAATCACAAATAGAAAAGTGTAATAGTTCTAAGAATATTACTTGCAATAGCACAATATGACTGCACAAAGCGGCAGTACTCTCTTTCTTTGGGACGAGAGTTTTGAACTGCATTTTTGGCGGTCGCTTATCAATAAACGTACCAAACACTTACGTAACCCTTTTAGGCCGTGCTATGTATTCTATATATTAAATTTATATTGTAATATATTTTGTGGTTGATACCTCCTCGATTTTTAATTAATGATCATTATTGTATTTTGATGTTATCCAAATTAATTTCTAAATTACTCACCAGTGCCATATTTTTGTCATTTCTCCTTGAAAATAATTGAGTAATTTCCCTTAAAGATGTGTTTGCGTACTTATTTCTGGATTAAAAAAAATATTTCCGAAAAATAACGGGGATTTATTTTAATTGAATGTTGACATTTTACTATCAGTCAGGAGATTGGAGTGTAGTCAGAAAGAGGCGAGGGCTGTTGTAAATCAATGAAAATTAACTTTCACAAGTTTTAAATTTTGTTGTCAAGTGTAGAGAATTTCACGGATTTCGTCAGTAATAAATCAAATTTTCAGTAATATTCTTAAGTGTTTATCATTAATAAATGCATACATATTGCCTCATTTTGAGTCCTTGGAAATACCTTCGAGTTGTTAACCATGCTTCCTATTTTTTGGAGGACGCGAGTTAAGATTTTAGCTATAAAATGAGACCGTGTAATTAAAAAAATAAGTACAGGAGGGCAACTTTTGCTTGTGAATATTACAAGGGATGCATGTTATTGGATTTGTGAGACCAGAAATGACCCGAGTAAAAACGCTCCAAAGCTCGTGAGATGCAGTATTTCGTTCGCTGTTTAGTTTTGTTCCGAGACGTGCTTCTATGGGCAGACTAAAGGAAGAACGTGTGTTGCGTTCAAGATTAGTAAAGCAGCCCAAGTACTCTTTAGTTGTTTTTTCTAGTAGGGATTTGACTCTTCTCAGAGCGGGCCGCTTGGTCTTTTGGCTGTAATCCACTCCCCCTTCGGGTAGCACTAATGCTCCGTCAACCGGATGAGACGGCAACCCACGCTCCTCTCAACTCTTCCTGAATTAAACCTGGGAAGAGTCACCCAGCCAGGTCGGGCTCCCAGTTTTCTAATCTGACACTGCAGTCGTCATCACGATATGCCGAGGAAAAAGCAGCTTCTCATACCCATGCGTAACGGGATGTGCAGCGACGATGCCTAGCGTCCAAGTGAACGCCACCCGATTTATGGCCCAGGTGGCTGGGAGCCCCTAACCCCTCTCCTCACTGCGCACACTGTACTTACGGTCTCTCCAGCAATCAGGGTTACCGAACAGGGGATTTCAATTTCCCGCTTGGGCGATCTGTATGTAGTCAGCGGCCGAAGCCACGTTCCTAATCCTTCCCCACGGCTGATAGAGCCCAAATGGCGGTCCGCCCAGGCAGAGCCCTCGCGACCAGGGGACTTAACTTCGCAGTCTCACTGCACCCACTTTGGTCCTAACGACGTGCAAGCCTCCGAAAAATGCAGGTCCCGGTTTCCCATTTCGACCAGAGAATCAGGCCAGTACAACGTGCATCCCCCTCTGCGAGGAGACCGAAGGAAGGATTCAAAGCGCGTGCGTTTCTGCACCCTCTCTCAGCGACCAGATGCGCCATATTTCCCTTCCATGGCCTCACTTCGGTGTGAGTCGCCTGTTTCCTGCTCTAGACGGTTGCACGATGGATGATGCACTCTCTAGTATGACATCGTACGCGGCAGTCTTCTGCATTTACTTCTAGTGGTTACTGTTAAAGTGAGTGACTGAAAAATGCGTAGAAGATCTATACTAGTGTTTTCGATTGCTGTGAAGTTCGTGGATGCAAAAACGTAATATATTTTTGTGAATAGATTTCATTAATATAGTATGTAGAAAAAATATCATTGAAATTATTATTGTATGCAGTCGTGTTAAGTTGCTATAGATGAAACGCTTTAACTGTTAACTATTGTTATAAGCATTTCAACAGTTAAGTGCCATTGTTACAAGCATTTTATTTTTGAAAGCTAGTATGGAAAATGGATTAGTTTTATTCTATTTATAATATATTTTGTGATTGTAATTTAATTACGTATGTTTGCAGTCAAAGAGGTCATGACAAGAAGTTAACTCAAATTATCAAAATTGAGTCATCAGGAACTAGCAACATTTCATAAAAAGACTTAACTCAGGAAGGTGACAACTATTTTTGAAAAGAACCATCAGCCAATCCCAATTATTATATATTTATAACCATTTTTGTTAAAACTGATGAAATATGCGTTAACATGTTCTTGTCGGGGCTTCTGCAATTAGAATTAAGTCAAGTGTATTTCTGTGGTAGATTAAATCTACACAATTAAGATGTGGTAGACAAATGATGAGTAAATAAAGAGAATGAGCGATGTTTTTTACTTACAAGAAAATAAAATATGAAATACCTATTTTGAAATGTGAAAAATTTTGTTGATTTTGTTTGTAAAGATTTGAAATAAAATTTAATAATCCGGAATATAACTTTTTTAGTTTATTCACCATTGCATGTTCCTATGTAAATTAATTGAATCCCAATTGCAAAATGGATATGAACACACTGTTGAAAGGGGTATGGGTTGGTCAACATACTATAAAATCAAATTTGCAGTTCGTTATTGATGCACGTAAGTATTGCTTGGGAGCAAAAATTTGTAGTTTTTAAATGTAGCTAACCGCATTTGATTGCTACTTTTACTCATTTTTCAAATTTTTGTAGTTAAAGGGTTGGGTGGGGATTCGGGTGCTCAAGAAAACGTGTGTGCCGAATATATGTTATCACTGTACGTCGGATTCAATTATTTACTGTTTTTGACGAAATAAATCAAACTCAAAACATACGATTGGCTAACTGTAGCCGTCCAATGAACGCATTTCACCACTGAAGTCAGTTTCAATAGATCAACAATGTAAATTAACAAACTTTTAACAATAAAATGTTTACAGCTTTTCGTTGCCAAAATGTACAATTTTTATGAAGCGAATTTTTTGTTTAACGTGCAACAGTTTTAATGGAAGGTGAAAAAATTATGAAAATGATAGAGCTTTATGGATGATGTAATTTCTTGTTCATTAAATACAAAAATAAAAGATGGATAAAGAGAGTCTTAAAAAATTAATGCATATCACCGCAACAAATGGTTAGTCTTAATGTACATGACTATCTTATTCAAACCATAATTCTGTATCAGTTCATACTTCATTTTTGGAGGGTTGAGTTAGCAGATATGCCCTATTATAAGACATATTTTTGCCATCCATCACTGCATCTTAAAACATTTGACACATTCATTCAGTAAACAACAAACAAGCGACTACACAAAGTCAGCAATTTTCTCATCACTACCAGAAAATGCTAAACTGACGTGACAACAAATTTTGTATTAAACGTATTATCACGTTAACAGGTAACGAGTTTCGTCTTATTACGAGTACACCAGAAGATCTGTTGGAGAAAATCCAGGGAATATAAAATAATGTCATACTTGTATAATGTTGTACACGGTGCGTGATCTGTAGAGTCGAGACTGAATCTGCAATTGGATTTCGGCCTTTTTCCGAACAGAACAGACAACTTCTAGAATTATGAATCCTACTGACTTTCGCGAAAAATTGTTTTACTTTCTAGCATACTCTTATACACCTTGCTTAGTATACAGAAACCATGTCTGTGGGATTAATAACGAAAAATGGTTTTCGGCAAATCGTCTCCCCCTCCATCAGTGAACAATACTCGGTGGCACCGAAACCTCGCACAAGACTTTCTCCAAAATTTTATTCTCAGTCGATTTAGCTGATGTCGCGTCCTTTCGATTTTTAAATGGGTATTTTAATTGTAGGGTGTATTTTACATTAATCTCCAACATTTTCAAAATTACACTTGTAACTGTGCTCGTGGTCAGCGTGCTCGCTTTCCACTATGCAGCCTCAGGTTCGATATCCGGTCGAGCCAAGACTATAGTGTGCGTTTTCCTTGCAATGTTCCAATATATGTTGCTGTGTGACGATGAGAAAATTCACTTCTCAGGTTGAGAAGACCAGAATACGGCGAGGGGCTGTGCTAACGTGCTCACCACACGTACCCCCTTAACCCGTGGTTGCGAGGCAGGGACGTCGCCGGTTGGCCTGTGCCCGTTCACGGGCTGTTGGGAGCCAAGTACATACATACATAATACATACTCCTATATCGGCGCACATTCTTTCTCGTATAATTATGAACAGTTACGTACAATTGTAATATTCCAATTTCTGCCCTACTAACACTTAAGCCATTACTTAAAAACTCCAAACCAATTCAACCGAAGCAACTGCGGTGCGGCTCGAATTATTTCGACAGTCTAAAAGTATTTTTTTTATTTCTACACAAGAAACAAACATTAATAAATCACAAATGTTACAGTATTCGAGTATTCGCAGCACAATTTAAAGGAAGCATAATTATACCACAATTAGCTATCAAACTTTAAGTAAAAAAAATGTATAAATTAAACATCAGCATCTGAAGTAAGGGCATCTGAATGCCCTCACAAAAGCATTAAATTGAGCTTCAAAATCTATCTTTTAATGACTAATTATATCTGGAACACTATACAAACATTTGTACGCAATAATTCTTTTTAAGCAAATCGCATACTATTGCGACCTTCTTCTTCTTTCGAGTCGACGAAATCTAAATTCTGGTTTTCCAGTAGAGAGAGCCAAGGCTCTCTGGTTTCCTAGGGCCAGGTCATCTCTGGATACACCATTAGGGCAGTCCTGGCAGGAAATAAGATGTTCCATCGTCTCTTCAACACCGCAGGAGCACATCACTAATTCATTCTGGGCCAAGAATCCCCATTTTTGCATATTTTAACTGTTCTGTAAAGATGTCCATGCCAGCCGCCTTACGGTTTCAGAGGGTTTTTATGTTCAATTTGGTGTCATGAGTACTGATTGGAGCGATAATGGACCTGGTCTCTGAGGCAGGGCTTCTTAATATTCTCTTTCTTATGTCTGTGGCCGGGTTTGGGGAACTTGGAAAGTGCCTCCACGAGCGAGATTCCATATTGATGTGCGTCTACTGATAAATTAAATTAGAAATACCCGGCGTTCCCTGGTAACAGAGGAAGTAAAACCTCTGGCTAAACCTTCCACCACTATGACAGCGAAAAGTCCCCTTAATGGGCCAGCGTTAACAGTGATCTCTATAAATAGAGGGGTTCTCGCCCCACAAAAGCAGATTTGCTCCCAGACATTTGTAAAAAATCTGACTGCGACGTACTCTGTGTCCAAGAAACCCATCGAGACACAAATCATCGTAGACCCAAAATAGATGGTATGGTTTTAGCAATAGAGCGACCACGCTCCAGATATGGAAGTGCAATGCATGTAATAATGTAGGTAAATAGCTTATAATGTAACAATTATATAAAATAAAGAAAGAAGGAACAAATTTTAAGTAGTTAAGACTTAATGAAATTTAAATTCTATCTGATATCTATAAAACAATTCGAGTTTAAAATTATATTATAAAGCTACGACAAGAAAAAAAATATTAATTTTTTTAATATTCGGACGTTATATATTCTTATATATTTTATAGAAATATAGGAACATTCAAATATATTAGTATTTTATTTCCTTAGAAAATAAATAATATTGATATTAAAGAAATAATATAATATCGCCAAACAATGAAAAAACATTAATATTAAGCAAAATAAGTCACTATTTTAAACACATTAGTATTCTCCAGTTACTGATGAACCTAATGATTGTCATTCATGTGAATGTTATCCTTCGCACAAGCATCTACAACAGCAATTTTCGATAATCCTTACAGTACATTTAAATTTCTTTTAAAGGTACTGAAGATCCATAACAAAGTATAAGGTGTTGCGAAAACAGGTGAGTCAATTCTACGGAACTGGAGATATTTTTGTCTCCTACGGTATACTACACTCCGGTTTGGAATTTGGATGTACTATGCACTAACATCACTAATTTCGTAACCTTTCAGCACAAGTCAATTTAAAGAAAGAAGGGTGGGAGAAAGTCATAACTGGTTCTGTCAAAAATGAATTATATTGAAGGTCTGAAGATCATGTGATGAGTTTGTCCCAATGTCAGCGTAAATCATTATTTATTTTTATTCTAAGTCCAGATCGTTGTGAGGAATATCGGAAGAAACTCAGCATTTATTTTACTTTAAAATAACTTGAAGATAATACTATGAAATTATCTATTCTTTTTGTAGTAACTACCATCGTGTAGGACAATAGCTGTTTAATAAAAATATTTTAATATATCCACTCTTCTAACATAAGGCCATGGAGTATTTTTTCACAGAAATACTTGCCTCCGTTCATCCCACCGCCCGTTCATCCCACCGCCCGTTCATCCCACCGCCCGTCCGTCCCACCGCCCGTCCGTCCGTCAAGTCCAGTAGCGACTAAATTACACGTAGTTTCACTCGATTCAAAGCTTTGCGACTTTGAAAAACACATTAATTCTTAGGGATGTTGTACATGAAGTTCTTGGGTCATTTTCAAAATTTTCTCAAGAATGGCTTCATTTTTTTCTTTGCATTTTTGAAAGAATGGAGTAAAATACACTTATAAAGATGAAATAGATTCGTTTTTCCCTGTTAACTCTGAATTTTCGAAAATTGCAAACATTTCGGCTTATTTGTACTATTACGAAATAGAAGAAGGTTTCATTCAAGTAAATGTTTTCTCCAAATATTTTAGTAATTTTCGTGCAATATTGCGGATGATAATAGAATATTAAAGACTAATAAAATGTGGCCTCACTGACGCTGTAAACTATTTTAAAAATTTTTTTAAGTTGAAAATTTATTTCATATTTCATTTCTTTCATGCCAAGCTTTGTTTAAGTATGTTCTTTCAGTATCTGTCATTGGACTTACCAATGAATCGTAGGAGCTGATATTGCTATACTCCCGTTCAAAAGTTCATAACACCTTGGGTGTTATCTCCATTCGGGATATAAACTGGTCTCATTGCAATTTCAAAATTATAAACGCCGTAACAAATATTTGCAGGTTTTGATGCTAATAGTTAACTTTTAGTTCAGCTACATTTTTAAGCTTTTTTGGTAATACGCACAGAAATACACATATCACATTTGCATTAACACAAATGCTAAATTAAAAAATGCAGATCATACCTAATTAGTACCCAAAAGTCTATCGCAACAACTTTTACAACTACATTTGATTCTTCCCCGAATTTCCTTAAAACTTCCATATTTTTCTCCCCTAATTTTTGAAGAGATTAAAACTTCACGATCTCAGTCTCATTTGTATTTACTTCTACTTGTCCAATTGCTCTATTAATCGTTTTGTAAGCGAATCTAGCATTGCATGCGAATCTAACATTAAAAGTCGACCATTTTGTATGTTTATGTGAATAAAGTGTTAGTTAATTTGAATAAGAATAAGTTGTGGATCACATTCATTTCAAAATCGGTATTTCCA